TACAGTTGCTGATTTTAGAGTAGTCATTTATCACTCATAATGGGGAAAAATGATTCAAAGTGAATTTTACAAAATTTAACTTAAGTATATTGTATATATGAAAATGTCACAGTGAAATCTATTTATATAATTAGTATGTGCTAATAAAAACAAAAAATTAACTGGTTACAAAATTATTTCATAAGCATTAGAACAACTCACAAGATTTAGACATAGCTGATTTGCATATAAAAATGTTTTACTATATTACATGTCTATCATCAAATCCTAAGAGAAGTAATATCATGGGAGAATCATAGGTGCTTGGTCCCAACACTAAAATTGGTTCTAACTTTGTAGATTAGTTTCTGCATCTCCCTGTGGCTCAGTTTCCCATTTGAAAAATGAGAATTATAGAAACAGACAATATTACTGTAAGAATGAAGTCATACACAATTTTGAAAATACTCAACATCTGACGCATGCTGCTAGGAGGAAGTAAAGTTAGTCTATGATTATCATCGTCTGAGCATTTGTTATCAGTTGTCAAGGAACTGGGGACTATTGTGAGTCCTTTGCATCTCTTCCTTGAGTAATTTTTTTTTTAGCACTATTATAATTTGGGAGACAGCTTCCTTATTTCCCTTAGCTATCAGCTCTATATAAGTACTTCCTTTCTTAAGAATTCTCATTCTTTCTTCTTTGAGATCTTCATTTACTAAAGCCCTACTTTTCTCCTTTCCATTTCAGTGAGTTGCTTGGTGCTTTTTGCCAATGGACAATTTAGCATTTGAAATGCAAGAAGATGGAAAGAAAGCTTTATCTATGGGAAAGATCACTACCTCCTCCAAAGTGGTAAGGTGGGGATTTGCATACTGGGGTTATGTGCTCTGATTTGTGTGGCGCTCAGGAAAGAATCCACCCCTCTTTGGACCAGTGCTCTCAATGAGACCCTTTTCTCATTGCTGCTGTGTCCCTCCTTATAAATCCTTAACTACTGCTTCTTTACTGGCCAATTCTCTCTGAAGCATCATTCATAATATCAAAGAATGCTACTGACTTGTTGGGTTTTATCACTAGGTTAAAATAAATTTGCCTCTTAATTGGGATCTCCCATAGGCAATATTGTTATACATTCTGATCAATTAACTTCAAACAGTCAAAAGGAAGATTTTTTTTTAAATTTATTCTTTTTGTTTGGTGGATTATTCATTGGTGTTTATACTGTTTCCCTTCTCTACTAATAGGATGAGGCAGTATAAACACCTGTTTTATTTTCTATTTAAAGGGACCTAGCCAAACTCCAGGCTGCCTCCACTAGTCTTAGTGTGTAAGAATAGTATTTTAAAACTAGTAGAACAACAAATATTATTTAGGAGAATTTTGTTTGAAGGATGATGATGATGATAATGCATATGTGTGTGTGTGTTGTGTGCATTTTGTAAAGCATAAACATCTTAGATAAGTATAGTAATATATTTCTTAATATGGTTGTGGATAAAAAAAAGGAAAGAAGCACTAAATGTTTCATGTTCTGATCATTTCCCCCATTCAACATCAATGAAGTTAGCAGAAAGAAAGTATCCAGAGAGGAGACAATGTTTCTATTTTCTTACAAGTGGAGAATAATGGCTTCACAATTTCTCCTAGGAAAAGAAGAGGCAGTGGTCACTGCTGAGCATTTTCCTGCTGTGCCTGCTGGCCTGCTTCATCACCACAGCAGTAGGAGTACTTACTCTCTCCCTGGTTTATGTCAACACCAAACCTCACTTTGAGCAGGAAGCCTCACCTCCACACACAATGGTTCCCCAAGGACAGAAGACTGTTGATTCAAAATTTCAGTTTCTTAATCATTTACCCAAATCCCAGGTGAGAATAACGAAGATTAGGAAATAGTTCTCTCAATGATGGGTTTAAACTATGTTTACACTTCATGTCATTAAACTGTTCTCCATGGGAAGGGCCGGTGGGATGAAAGAAAGTGGGGAATAGAGAGTGGAAAGCTGAGTTGACAATGGCAGCAGGCAGAAAATTTAGTAGATCATTCTATGTTCTAGCTAGAGAAGAGAAATGCCAGGTTATAAATGGATAGGTAGGTTTGTGGTGTGTGTGTGTGTGTGTGTGTGTGTGTGTGTGTGTATGTAGTATGTATGATGTGTGTGTGTGTGGGTGTATGTGAGTGGGTTGTGTGTGGTGTTTGTATGAGGGGTGTGTATGAGTGGGTTGTGTGTATGGTGTGTGTATGTATGTGGGTGTGCATGATATATGTGTGTGTGTGTTGTGTGAGGTGTGAGTGTGTATGTGCTGTGTGTGTATGTGGTGTGTATGATGTATGTGTGTGGGGTATGTGTATGAGTATGTTGGGGGTGTGTTTGCATGTGTTGGGGGTGTGTATGATTGTGTGTGTGTGTGTGTGTGTGTGTGTGTGTGTGTGTGTGTGTGTGTGTGTGTGTGTGTAACAGGATTAGGTTGATGGCATAGCATACACAACTGTTGTAATTCCTAGACTCTTACAGGAGTGTTGTTCCTTTTGGGAACCCCTAAAATCCACCTCACTTTTCCATTTACCTCCTACTTACTCTGTCAATAAAAATGGCTTACATTCTTTATGGACAGAAACGTGGAAGACAACTCAATGCTGATGATTGCTTGCTTGATTTTTAGGTGTTTGAATTCCCTGGTGGTGCAATCCAGTGGGCAAGGTACAGGAACAACATCAAAGACTATCTCAGTGATGAAGAAGAGGCATTTGGCACCAGCTTGAACAGTCTGAGATCACAGATGACTCTGGGGACACTGAGAATAAAAAGCAAGGGCCTCCGGGCTCCTCACTGGCACTTCAATGCTAATGAACATGGCTATCTCGTGCAGGTACAAGCAGTTTGCCCTCTTTCTGCCTTTTAACTTTTATACTATACCTCAGAGTATTATTTTAGATGTTACCAAGTCTCCTAAGTTAGCTATAGACAAGCATTCAGGCTTTCAATTAGATTAGCCATCCTGGAGAATTTGCCATCACTTTGAACTAATTATTGTTAAAATAAAATCACTGTTGAATTTTTCTATAAATTTGAGACCCCTCTAAGATTTTTCTTTAATATTTTAAGTTAGCAGTTTTATAAGACTGTTATTCAAGTGTATATTCATATCTAGTTCTATTTACATATTTATGCATTTTTTAATTCAGCAAGGGATGAAAGTATTGACTGCCTGCTGCAAGTGCAAAACACCCCTATTTCTCAAAATAAATGTTAGCTGTATTCATAGGGCTTGATGACACATTTCACTTTCTATCTTATATTACACTGTAATATAAATAGTAAATTTTGCTAAAGCTAAAACTAAACTAAAATCACTGTTCTTTGGGCCAAAGTTAAAGTACCAACTCTGATCTAAAGATCAAAGAAACAGTGGCTTCTGAGGAAAATGCAGCAGGTGGAGTAACAAACTAGCATGCTGATGTTCTGCATAGACTCCAAGATCAGGTCATTGAATGAGCTTTTGTTGTTTAGACCTTCCAGAGGATTCTCAATTCAAGTGAAATAGTGACAGAGTTCTTGTAGAACGTTCAAAGTTTCGTCTGATTCAATAATCAGCCAGTTATATGGTATTTTTTCTGTTGTTAAGACGCCCCTTGGCATAAGCATTTAGTCCCAGCACTATGGAGGCAGAGACAGGTGAATCTCTGAGTTTGAGGCCAGCCTTGTCTGTAGAGAGAGAGAGTCAGAACAGCTAGTGCTACACAGAGAAACCCTGTCTCAAAGAGAAAAAGAAATAAAAACTTCACCTAGTCTTTACTAGAGGGAGGATGTCTTCATTAGCATTACTATTGCTTTGATAAAACACCATGATCAAAAGCAAGTTGGGGAGGAAAGGGTTTATTTTACTTACATTTCCACATTGTAGTCTACCACCAATGGAAGCCAGGGACAGGAACTCAAACAGGTCAGGAACCTGGAGTGGGGAGCTGATGCAGAGGCCCTGGAGGGGAGCTGCTTACTGGCTTGCTCTATGACTTTGCTCATTTTGCCTTCCTGTAGAATGTAGACCCAGGGATGGCCACACCTACAATGAGCAATGCCCTCCCCATCAATCACTAATTAGGAAAATGTCCCACAGCTGGATCTTATTTTTAACAGTTTCTTAACTGGGTTTCACTCCTTTCAGATAATTCTAGCACGTGCCAAATTGACATAAAACTAGCCAGGACAGACTAGATGCTCATCTATCAAAGCAAACATTTGTTATTTTTCATGGAAAGCTTGGTGAAATAGAGATGTTTATAAATAACACTCTAGTGTTGGCAGGATTGAACTAAATCTAGGTAGTCTGACTTCTGTTTTTCCAAACATATAAAACAATAAGGGAAAAATTTCCAAATGACCAATTTTTCTGCTATTGGCCAAACTATGGTAGGGTGGTAGGGGAAAGAAAAGCCAGCTGGGTAGACTTCCTTGAAGGGTTCACCAAACAGACTCCACTAAAGAAGTAGATCTGCAGCTTCAGTAGGGAATAGGTCCTGGGAGTCACTTGGTCTGAGGAGGCTGTTTCAGAAGTCAAGGGTAATTTATAATTTGCTTTCTGAATGCGTACTGTATAGACTTGGGTATTCTCTAGCCCCTGGGGAATTGTCAGATCCCTGACTCCTATAACTAGGTCAAAGAACTAACAAAGAGGATGAGGAGGAAATAACTACCACTCAGGTCTGTGGAGACTATGTCTGCCTGCCTCTGATTAACTTGCTGAAGGCCTTGGCACCATCTTTGAGGTGGCTAGTGAGCCTGACCCAGCAGTGGACATCCTGTTGACCACTGTGCTGCCTCTGCTCTACCTCTGGAGTGGTTGGTGTCCTGATGGAATAAATGGATATTTATTCCTGTATCCTGTATGTGGATGAGGACAGAACTCTTTAGAGTGGTGGTTCTCAATCTGTGGGCCATGACCCCCTTGGGGTTGCATATCAGATACACTGCATGTCAGTTATTTATATTACAATTGATAACACTAGCAAAATTGCAGCTATGAAGGGCAATGAAAATAATTTCATGGTTAGGTATTAGCACAACTGAGGGTCACAGCATTAGGATGGTTGAGAACCACTGCTTTAGACTAGGTCTATCTTTTCCTTCTTTTTTTTGTAACAACCATTTTGGATTCAAGATACATATTGCCTATCCAGGCAGAACAAAGACTTCTTTGTTTACCTATCATTTATTTGTCTTACTATGTGACCCTCAATGTCTGATAAAATCTAAGTAATGGCAATAATACAAATAAATACAGAAGGACAGAGTAGAAAATGAAAGCAAACATTATTTGTCCTCAGGGTAGTATGTTAGCTGCCACAAAATAACTTAACTAAATGGTACACAAACATCTAGGATTTAGATTCAGTTACATTACTTAACAGTGCCTTCACACATTAGCTTATTTAATTTTGTATCAGGAGACTTCAAGTATGATGTAGTATGGACAAAAATGTAGACAGTGGAGCTTGCTTGCTTCGGTCCAAATCCCATTTTTGTCACTGACTACCTTAAGTTACTTCAAGAAAATGTATATTCTTAACCAAACTCACTTTTGTCACCTACAAAATAAGAATAAAAATAATAGCACAATTGAATTCAATCAAGTAAAGTGCTTTAATAGGTACCTGATATAATGAAAATATTAAATGTGTGCTATTATATTATCTCCATTATTAAAATTATATACAGACTTTCTCTTGTTTGTAACACACATGTGTCTGTGTGTACCCCAACACACAAAGTGCATATACAAACATATGTGCTTGTACAATCACCTGTGACCAGCACAGATCCTGCATCTATGGCTTCATTTGTTTGTTTGTTTGTTTGTTTTGTTTTTGTTTGCTTGCTTTTGAGACACGGTCTCTCTATGTAGTCTCAAGCTGGCCTCGAACTCACAGAGGTTCACCTGCCTCTGCCTCCAGAGTGCTGGGATTAAAGTTGTGTGTGCCACCACTCCAGGTCTAACAAACACAACTGAGGCTTCAGTTTTTTAAAAGCAAGTTCTAAACATGTTTAAACAAGTTTTAAAATATGGATTCTTAGTGGGAGCCATATTTCCCTTAAGGAAAATGGATTTTAAAAGGAGGCAAAAGAGCACACAGAGGGCGGGGAGGGAGGGAGGGAGCGGGGGAGGGAGGGAGGGAGGGAGGGAGGGAGTGGGGTGCAGGGAAGAATGAGGAAGAATATAAAGAAGCCAAACCATCGAAGCTCGCTACCACATACAATGTTACAGCTGGCCAAGTGATCTTCTTTCCTCAAAATACACTGCACTGGATAAAGAACGTGGGTCATGAAGACTGCTTCTTCTTGCTCTTCTTTTCTACACACGATGAGCTGCAGACTCTAGATCTAGATGATGCCTTTTTTTCTACACCTGAAGACATTGCTTCCAGGTCTCTTAAGGTATGTGATATTTGTAAAATCATGAAGATATGTACTACACAGGCATAGAGTATGAATATCAGTGTTTCTAAAATATAACAATCATCATAGATCCACAAATTCATTAACAGGGATAATAGTGATTGAATAACACACTCAAAAGTGGATCTTGTATTCCTACTATGACCAAAGTTGAAATTGCATTTCTTTTGATTTTCCTCTATGAAGATCTTTCACCTGAAATTGTAATGCATTGGGAGAAAGATTATGACATAATTAATGGAAAATTGCTGCTACTTATAGTAGTCCTAAAGAGCCAAAAGATCACTCATCCTTTTTGTGGGGAGAAGCTTGCTACATAAGAGAGAATTATCTTTTTTTCTTTTCATTTTTTTTTTGTTTTTTTGAGACAGGTTTTCTCTGTGTAGACTAGGATGTCCTAGAAACTCACTTTCTAGATGAGGTTGGCTTAGAACTCAGAGATCTGCCTGCCTCTGCCTCCAGAGTGCTGGAATTAAAGGTGTGCATCACCTCCACCCAGGTGGAACTGTATTTTCATAATTTTCAGAAGAGAATCCTATGTTTCCTGAATAATTGGTCACTTTAAAAGAAATCTTTAAAATTTTTATTTTTTAATGCGGTGCCAAGGTGTTTTAATGCATCTATATATGACATGAAGTCAGGCTAAGCATATCCCTCTCCTCAAACATATATCCTTCACAGTGAAAACTCTTGTTTGCTAACCCCTGAAAGCACACAGTGCATTATAATTCCCTACTGTCACCCTACTGTAAAATAGCATAGCACAATGTTTTGCTCCTGTAAATTACTACTACAATCACTACTTATGATTTCTCTAGACATTTATTTACATTATCACAGGGGAATAACTGATATTGTTTACAGAAGGTCAGGCATAGATGCTTGAAATGCTAATGGGCAAGGTCTAGTGATGGTCTTTAGCTAGCAGCTGGAGAAGGTTCAGTAACAAGCATAGGAATCTGCACAGTAAACTTTTGAGATTGCCTTTCACGGGGGGCCAGTATTCTAGTGCTCTAGAGAGAGTTAGAGAGATGGCTGTTTAGGGAGAATGCTGGTAAGCTTGGGAAACAATGCATGCTTCTGCAGATATTTATATTGACCATTTCAAATCAATCATCTAAACCCAAAATGCATTGGAACCTTTCACAAATATCTAAAATTCTTCTGCCCGGGTCAACAAAAAGCATCTGTGTTAATGTTACTGCAACCTCTGCCACTTACTTTTCTGTTACCAAAATTTGTTAAGTGTTTCATAGCCATACATGTGATTTATGATTGTTTTTCAGCCTGAAGGTGGAATTAATTTCATTAGAAAATTCCAGAAGCAAACAGAGGATCAGGGGGTCAATCTTCCTCCCAACTTGGCAGAGCTAGTTACAAATGCTACTTATGTACAGTCTCCTGACAGCATTGTGTGGAGATATTTTTTTGACCTTAAAGGTATGGCATGTTTCATGAAGGCTTTTAATTAAGTTTTGTATATATGGTTACATATTTTTGGCTTGGGATGTATTTTTGATGGTGGGGTATTGCTAAGAGAAATTTGAAAAACAAAACAAAATTACCATGCTTTTCAGTAGATTAGGAAATGTAGGGGAAATCCTACAGTCAAAAGTGAATGTGGCAAAGTGGGATGGGCATGTTTTAGATTGTAGGGTCAGAGACTGGTGGCAGAGGACATTCCTAACCATGTTAAGGTTAGAAGCCATTCTGAGGAGTTTTTGCAGTATCTTAACTGAAGAGTAGAGCAATTGTGCATATTAAATAAGTGTGAAACAGGGAATTTTGCTTTTTGAAGTGAAGATATATCTGGCTGGTTTGTAGGGAATGATTATAATGAGCCAGTTGGGCAGAAAAGAGATGAGTAGAGGGGCTGTCATAGTCCTTCTAATAGGGGATGGTATAGACCTACACTGTGGCTGTGTTGTGAGGTGGAGCAAAGGATTTAAAGAGATAGCATAGAAAAGACTTGATAGTTGACTACTTCAAGGGTGATGTACAGAATTTTGTTTGGGATAACTCCCAAGTTTTCTAACTAGGTCCCCTGCATTGAATGAAGAATACTAGGATTCTCTGTATTAGAAATTTCAGTACAGTTAGGGAGGTGCCTAGTGGGGCCCATATAACCTGGGGTCAGCAATTCACATTATGTAAGTTTTCTGTGAGTAGAAGAGCTTTGTGTTTTACTGGGTGTCTGTTGAGGTACAATTTTGAAGCATTTGTTATTATGTTTTAAATTTCATTTGTTTCAGGTTCAAAAGAATATAAGTTTCCAGGGGGAGTCATCCAGCTAGCACAGTATTGGAAAGATGCAGATGAACTAAACAGCAATGAAAAAATTTTCAATGAATTTCTACATCAGGTAGTTGAGGAAAAAGCTTTTCTTTTGTTATAATTAAACAACATTTAAAACTTTCTCATATATGTTAATTTATTTTCTTTTTCTTTTTTATGTTTTGAATTAAAGTATAATTACATTGTTTTCTCTTTTTCCTTTCCTCCCTCCACCCCTTCCCATGCATACTCACCTTGCTTTCTCTTAAACTCATGGCCTCTATTTCTTTTTTTTTAAATTTTTTGTTTAAATTAGAAACAAGCTTCTTTTACATGTCAATCTCAGTTTTCTCTCCCTCTCCTCCTCCCCTGCCTCCCACCGACCACCCCCATCCCAAGCCCTTTCTGCTCCCTAGGGAGGGGAGGCCTTCCATGGGGGAATCTTCAAAGTCTGTCACTGTAAGTGGATCAATATTTATCTCTGGTACACAAATGAACTTTGGGAGCCCTCTCCATATAGAGGGTTACTCTCTCAGCCTAGACATGCTGGAGAGGGTCTAGGCCCTGCTCCAAATGATCTGACAGACTTTGAAGATCCCTCATGGCCTCTATTTCTAAAACTGCTATTATACAAACATATACATATATATGCATACATATATAATGCTAAATATATAAATAAAACATGTTCATTGCATATATCAGGATTCATCACTTGTTGTTACTTAACCAGTTTTGCAGCTGTTCCCTGAGGAGGACTATTTATCCATCTCTCAGCATTCCTTAATTGCCTGTAATTCTTTGCTAAGGGTTGAGGCCCTGAGACCTCCCCCTTCCTTGTTTGCATGTGTTGTCCTTGTTCAGGTCTTGTTCATACAACCATGTTGGTGAGACCTCATAGGTGTAACTTCCTTGATATTTCTAGAAGAGGAACTCTCACAACAAATGTCCAGTTCCTTTGGATTTTACAGTCTTTACAGAGGGAACAACTTTTGTTGAATATCCAGGCAGGTGAAATAGAAGATTTAGGTCTGATTCATGACTCTTCTTACTGGAAGAAGAAGGGAATCCTGGGTTAAACAAGAATGGGCTGATTCCATTCATGTGAGTTGCCAATTAAGGCTTGCAAGGGACTTGGAACTTTCCTGACACAAGCAGTCACATCAGTGAAGAGAGTGGAGCATTGTGAGAGTTCCATTTTTGTTTTTAAGAAAATCCAGTTATGTTAGCATATTTCCTGTGTTCACATTCTAGTTGTGCCATATCTTTGCAACTGACTTAGATGTTTCACTCATCACCTGTGAGGTAGGGAGAATGATGCAACTGTAAGATTGTTGTAAGCAGTAAGTGATGTAATACCTATGAGGAATGTGGAAGACATTTGCAGAGATGCATAAATATCAGGGATTTTGTGGTCTTATCAATTGTTGAGTTGCTGAGCAATGAGTTGGTTAAATAACTATCTTTTCTCCTTTTCTTTTGAAAGCATCAAAATGTCCTCGCATTGAGTACACTCAGGATTTATAATAATGGATTAAGACAGCCACATTTTCATTTCAATGCAAATGAAATGGGATATGTAGTGAGCGGATGTGGAAAGGTAATTCCTCAATAAACATTTCTTTAAAACTTTCTTTGATGCAGAAAGGAGCAAATAGATAGTTCTCATGTCAACCTAGTCATCAGGAACAAAAGGAATCTGTCCTAATGGCTTGGTGGACACCTTTTCTACAGAGGATAGTACACAGATCTCATTAGATGCTTGTCATATTTGATGAGAAAGAAAGATTTAAGAGGTTCTGTATTTCTGAAGTGGGCAAGCATATTTCTGAAGTGATGAAGATTAATGTCTTATGAAAGAGGTCTGAAGAATAAGCCGAAGCTGTCAGTTTTGCACCATCACCTAATGCAAACTGCTCTGCCATGGGGAAGTAGAAATAATTCAGAAAGGCTTGGGACATCAGCGTGATGACCATATATACCAGCTTGTACCCCAGCATCTGAGATACTCCTCAGTATACTTATCATCTGGCTGAAGCTATTGATAACCCATTTTACTCTTCAGAGAGTATTTGGCTAGGATGGTCACTTATGTGGTCAAGCTCTATACCCAAGCTATATAGTATGTTACTAAAGTGATCTGACATTAGTTACTACACATTGTCATGAATTCCAGAGATAGACAAGGCTTTGTTTAGAGAGGAGTCTATAGAGGGTGAAAGGGCACAAGGGGATGAGGAGGATGATAGAGGAAAAGAGAGAGGGGCAAGTGAATCAATAAAAATAAATTACACTTGAAAATGCCACAATAACTTTCTCAACTAGTTTTAATAAAATGCTTTGATGCTCTGTATTTCTCTCAATCTTGGAGGAAAGAACAAAAATTATATGAGTTTCACTCAGACCAAAGTCTTGTATGTTTTCAGGAATGAAAGTTTTTGAAAACTGAAAAAGAGCATTGTAGTCCTCCATGCATTGGGTTTCAATTATCTGAACATTCCCCATGTGCCAGAGTGCCTTTATGCATGTTTAGTCTCTAACTCTTAAAAGGAAGACTCTTTAGATGGTGTGATGAAAGATGGATTAAATGAAGGCATGTAGGTGGGAAATCACTGAATGTAAATCCCCTCTGGTATGTCTGGGGCAACATTTGTGACATTAACTAGAACATGATGGCTGATACCTTTTATGGCATGATGTATTTATACATGATGGATATTTATGTACAATTTTTTGGCATCTGTGGTGCTCTGTCATATCCTTACTAAGAAGCCCCTCTATAGCCACAAGCTATGTTATATTTCTGTCCTTCACATTTAATACTTACCCCAATGAGTGTGTGACTTTATGTTCTAAAGTATCACTTCCCCTCAGGTGGGCATCATTAATACTGAGAGAACCATTGAGTTTAATATCCACATTGGAGACGTGGTGTTTTTTCCTATGGGAACCCAGCATTACATCAAGAACACATGTGATGAGGATTTGCTCTTTGTTCTTGCCTTCAGCACCAGAGATCAGGTAAGACTAACAGTCATCAGTGATCTGCTAAGACATGAGCTTGGAGAGAGGTGGCCTTAAGAAATATGAAGAGGTGAATGCGTTATCCAGATGAAAAAAAGTGTATGAAGAGAAGGAGAATCAATACATTTTCTATTATATTCCTCTGAAGTCTGAACAGTGAACCAGAAGATCAGTATGTAGAGATCCATGAAATCATTTCACTCATGGTGAAATAGAAGATATGACAATTATCTGTTGACAAATATATTTCCCAGTATTGATCCCCAGGAATGGATAGGCCTCCTCACATTGAAGCAGAGGTTATCATACTGTTGTGAAAAGTGAGTGTGGCCATTGAGTAGCAGGAGCATTTACCTGACTGTAAGGCTTGCCTCATCATATGGCTGCAGGGTTAGTAGCAGGCCTTCACTAGTTCTTGCTTCAATTTCTTAGCAGGACTGATTCCTTCTAAGGAAGGTTTGAGAAATCTTAGCTCATTTTTCCATCAGACTTTCCTTATCAGAAATGAAGATCTGATTTCCCCATGGCTAAGGGAGACTGGCACTCATAGACACCTGTGTGAGGTTAGATAGCCAAGTACCAAGACATATTGCCAATGCCTCAGCAGTTCCCAGGCCTCTGCAGTGCTCTGAGCAGTGTGTAACTGACGCAGCTTTTGTTTTACATCATCAGGTACAAACTCTTGACATGGATGATTATCTCCTGGCCACCTCAGACCATATTTTGGCCCAGCTTTTCTTCAGAAAGCAAAGCGAGTTTAAGAAGATTCCCAAATTCACGGAGGACCAGGCCATCAACCTACCTTAAATTACTAATGACTTTATATCTACTGTTCTTTGTCATTTGTTGATAAAGAAAGGCCACTGGCTAAGAAAATGTGGCTTGTTACACAATGAAGTGAGGCAACCAAGGCACAACAGCCCTAGGATCACCCATGTGGGCATCTGAATATGAAAATGATCGAACATTTCACATTTGGGTGTCTGATGTATTTGATAAATTGGCATTATTAATGCATTTTAATATGTATATACATACATATACATATGTATGTCTTATTACTTCAAATGTATAGTGTTAACATTTGTTTTTATACATATAAGTAACATTTAACTATGCAAGTACTAGTCATTATTCATCACTGTGGGAGTTAGAAAAGAGACTGGTTTATGTATGTAGTTTGTGAGGCACTGTAATCCATATGCAAGGCCATGTCTGAGGAGTTTACTACCATGACTTAAATTGGAGATTCTCAATCCTTTTTGGCATGAGGTTGTTTTGATATAGTCAACATTAAAAAATTTCAGTCATACCAGTAATTGTGTACTTATATTACCACAGAAGATATTTAGTGGCAAAATGGATATGAACTAATGCCATCTTTGAATGTATTTGGACTTTCTTGGTAACCTCATCATCTGTCTACATTTGAGGAAGTTCTTCCCATGTTTGAAAAACATCTGATAGTTTGTTGTTGGTGTTGGCTGTGTCTGAAGATTCAGGGGTCCCTTATAATCTTTCTGAAGCTGGTTGGGGCTGGTGGTTTCTTAAGTTATATGAAAAGAATTAGTGTATATTTGATATGTACCTTAATTTTGATTGCAGTTTATTGTAACAGGCATTTGATATACTGACAGTGTGCTAATCAATACCATCAGCTCTGAGCTACCCTATGTAAAACTCTTAAGGAGATAGAGCTGGCTTTAATACCATCTTTTAGTCATTACCCTAATACATAATCTGATTTCTTTCAAAGGCTCAGACCGTTTCTTTTTCTTGGCTACAAAAGAATCTGTCCTTTCTTTTCCTCCTCTGACTGTCTCTCTCTTCATTAGACTATCTAGCTCTACTGCTTACTAGTAGAACAATACAGTGAGAACTTTTATCAGGGGTACATGGCTACCTACAAAAAGGGCTGTAGGAACATGATGATATCTTGTCTCTGCTCTCAGTTGTTTGCTAGTCCATTTACCCATATAAGATAAGCACTGTGTTGGATATTAGAGAGACATAGTTGAGTTAATCTCTGCTTCAAGGACTACTGAGGTAGACATGAGGGCATATATTACAAGACATGGTAGAAATTCACTATGATAAGTGGTAAATGTGTGCACACAAACTATATATGGATATACACATTCATGTATAAGCAAAACACCAACCCCAGCTCTGGGAGCCATATGGAGGGTGTTAAGATTTCCTGGAGTAGATCTGAGTGAAGCTGAGCAGTTAGCCACAATATTAAGAGGAAGATGGAATCTGTGAGCAGGCAAGCTCTTCTAGATTGAAGGTTGAAAGAGTCAGTCAGTAGTGCCAAACAGGAAAGTGTGAGAAAGCAGTTCACTGTGGGTGGAGGAAAAGGCCAATAACAAGGGATGAGGTAGAGCTGGGAGGGTCCTGATAGTGAAGATGCCAATATCCTTTAGAGCCATGTTACTGTGCTTTTCCTTATTGCCTTTTCCCAGTAGAGCCAGCCAAGATCAGAGCTTAGCAGTAAGCAGAGGCTTAGCGGTGTTCTGGAGGGAAGTAATGTTGAAAGGACTTAGGGAATAGCATAAAGGAAATGGCACATGGAGGAGGATATCCAAATAGATGCATTGCTTTAGTCATCAGTAATGACTAAATTACTCTGTGAGGTTGTTTTTCTCACATAAAACAATCTCTGAACTGTTAACAGGAGCTTTCCTTACTGACAAACTCTGAGGGTCATAAGGCAGAAAACAATGTGTGTACATAGCTTTTATCTGCAAATTTTACCTTTGAATGTTAAAAAAATATATTCTATAAGTGTGTTTATATGTATGTACTCCTTTTTATGTACTAGGAAGGACTGTATCAGATTACTATGTGGTCATTAAATAAAAATTTTTTCTATCTTGTTATATTATTTTGTCTGTTAATTTTGAACATAATCTGTTCTTATGGTTTTATGTACTTAAAGTAGTCTATTCTTCTCTTTAGGTATCTTTGAAATAGGATTTATTATCTCCTAAGTATTAACTAATGTATGTTGTGGTATTGAATCACTTTGGGTTTCCTGATAACAATATACTTGACATTTGCCTTAGGAACCCACTCAACTATCAATTTTTTTTAAAAAAAATCACAAAGCACAGATTATCTAATGAAAAATTTCATTGGCATAATATTGTCTTATTGTGGGATATGTTCTTAAAATTAAGATTCCTCTAATATCAACTTGTTTTTTCATAACTTTGAGGTATTTTTATTTTTATGTTGGATCTTGAACCTAGGGCCTTGCACATGCTAGGCAAGCACTGTATTGGTGACATATAGCCCCAACCCAGAGGAAGTTAGTATCGATTGCTCCTCTAAGACACTCTTCTCCATGGTTATTTCATCCATTAATACTAAAGTGCTGGTGCTAGTATAATAGCTCCATTAGTAAAGTGTTGGTCTTGCAAGCATGAGGATAAAATTACCCCATGACTCACCTAAGGACAGGTAGGCATGGTGTTGTATGCTTGTAATCCCTTAAAAGTTCTAGAGCAGTTGAGAAAGGTGTATCTAGCCTTCTAGCAAGCTAGAGTACTGGAGATTTCTAGGTAAGTGAGAGACCCTGTTCCAAAAAAAAAAAAAAGAAAGAAAGAAAACATATACACAAGAAGTGGATGGACTCTGAGGAACAACATTGTCCTCTGGCTTTTACAGCCATACAGGAGGAGATATTCATACATGCACAAGTACACACACACACACACACACACACACACACACACACACACACACACAGTGAAGTTTTAGGCTTTTGGGGGGTAGATGTTATTTCTTATCAAACTGATGTCTTGATTAGTGAGTTACTCAGATTGATTAATGATACCATAAAGGCAAAATCCCAAGACTTCTACTGAAAACCTCCATTAAAAGTGAACTCCTCCTAGCCATTTTATGGCAAACACTGTAAAGATCTGCCCATATTTTATCCACTTGAAGTGATATAAGCTATAGTACATGAAATCCCCTAAATGCTGAAAAATTTTAAAGAATTTTCTTGTAGCCACCTTGAATGGCTGAGCAGAATGAATTTAGTTTCTGTAGCTCTCCAGGGCTGGGGAAGAAGTGCCAACTTAGAAGCCGTGTTGCTTCTAATAGGAGGTGCTCAGAAAAAGTTATGTGTCTATGCTTTCATCTTTTCCTATCCTGGAGTAACCAGATTGCTTTAAATTACCAAACTAATCCACAACAGGGAAATAGGTACTATTATCATATGGCTTGACTCTGAATAGCCGTACTCTGCCAGTAGTTAAAAACTGAGCCATTAGTATAGGATTTTTGCTTAAAACAAAACAAAACAACAACAAAGGCATCCTTTTTGTTTTGGGGACAAAGTCTTACTATGCAGCCCAGGGTAGCCCAACACTTTAAATCCTGCCTCAGCCTCCTGAATGCTAGGCTTATATGAGCAAAAAATACCTTTTGAAAGTTAGTTACTAGAAGTTAAAAGTGATGTCTTCACAAACTGTCTATGAACTGCAACTTTTAGGAAGCTGTCTTCTTTAAGTTGGGGGCCCTGATCCACTGGGGAAAAATAGGGTAAACCTGATAAACCCAAAAGAGAACATAAATGGTTAAAGAAATATGTGTGCACTCATGCAAGTTTTCTTCTTTGTACTTAATTTGGAGCTATTCAGAGAAAAGCATGCTTTAGAATCATGGAACTGCAGACCTGGTACAGACCACAAATCATATGGTCCCATCACTTTAATTTGTGGAAATGGAAACTGATACCTAACTTCGATGGGTTATTTTAGACATAAGGTCTTTGAGGTTCTTGTCTTCAAGGGTATGGGAGAGTCTTTCACATACAGCAGAACTCTGTACTAGGAAATGTACCATCTCAGTTGGGGGAAAGGGCTTCTATCACCTGAAAATCAGTACCACCTTCTTTCTGGGCTGCCCACATTCTGAGATGCTGGAGCAGTTAACTGTTGAATAAAGATAGTCATAGTCTCTTTGGATCACAGTTCATTGTTCCTGTCCAGTCAAGCTTTCAATGCTTATTTTAATTTAAAAGTTGTTGATGGCTTTTAAACCTGCAATAAAGTACAACAAAAAGTTGCCATACAATTTGGTGACTCTGAAAATGTTCACGATTTGGTGCAACTATCACAAAATCCATTTCTGAAATCTCTCCCCTCCCACTAGACAGAAACTACAACCATTAAACAACTCTGTTCTCCTCTCCTGCCATCCCTGGTATAGTCTACTTTGTATTCATTCTGTCTCTGTGAATTGACTTATTTTGAGTACCTACTATAAATGGAATCACACAACACAAGCAATTGCTTAATTTCATTATTTGCTCATTTAAAAACCTTTGCCTTGGCTGCCTCCTTAGCATTGTTCTAGGATTATATATGACACAGGGATGTGGCACTAGAGACCTTACACTTTAAATGACTTATGTACAGAAATAGCTTCTATTTCTCTTCTATCTCCATCCTTGTACTTCACGTTCTTAGCTCCTTTTACATCACAAGCATTCAAAAATGTTTGTCTATTCAGATTTTGTTAGGTGAAAACATGTTTAAAAATGACACAAGCGAAAAGTTCAGGACCAGCCTGGTCTACAAGAGCTAGTTCCAGGACAGCCTCCAAAGCCACAGAGAAACACTGTCTTGAAAAAAAAAACCAACCCCCCCCAAAAAAATGACACAAGCAAATCCACATTATTCTTTGCCATTTTAGTGGTGTTCATTCCAGTGTCTCTCTAGTTATTTAGTGTACAAGCTTTTCATGAAACTTGAAGCATTACTTTGCCCTTGCATGCTTTAGTGGGGAACTTTGTTCCAGTACCTGAAATTTGAATGTGAAGACTAGATTGTTTGAACTCTGCTTTTTCCTTCTTGACATTATCAAGAAATCCCCAAGAGCCTAAACAGGTGTCTTTCATATCTCTTATCATGATGCTGTATGGCCCAACTGAATCTTGCTTGGCAATAACTCTAACGTTTATGTACAATAGCCTTGTGTGTTCTGTTTATTGCCTGGCTAGGGATGCAGAGTCCCTCATGTTGATGGGAGGAAATTGCTATGTTTAGGTGACAGTATTGGTGTTCTATATTGCTTCTTTGAGACATTGCTTTACCAATTGGCTATCAGCCTGATTACTCAGCACACTTTCAAAGGGCCTGCTTTTCATGCCATGCCAATGGAGAAACTTAGCATTTTCAAAACATTAACTCAGTGTGTTTAAAGCTATCTCCCACGTTCTATTGTGTCAGGTTCAGTGTATCTGGTTTTATGTGGAGGTCTTTGGTTGCCTTGGACTTGGGTTTTGTTCAAGGTGATAGATATGGATATTTTTGCATTATTCCATATACGGACATCCGGTTAGACTAGCACCATTTGTTGAAAATGCCGTCTTCATTCCATGTGTATTTCTAGCTTTTTCATCAAAAATCAGGACGTTTGGGTCCTCAATTCAATTCCACTGATTAAAATGGATCAATCTGTCCATTTTAATGCAAATACCATGCGGTTTTTATTCCTATAGCTCTGTATTATAGATTGGAATTAAGGATGGTGATATGTCCTGATGTTCTTTTATTGTACAGGATTGTTTTAGTTTTCCTGAGATTTTTGTTTGTTTGTTTGTTTTTAACTTGTGAAGTTGAATATTGGCCTTTCAAAGTCTGTAAAAAATTATGTGGGAACATGTGATCAAGCATGTATGTAAAATAGACTCATGCCACTGAAGAAACAGATTTTTCTATTCATTAAAATTCATTTACTCACTAAGGAGCATGTAGTTACATCCACAGACCTTGAGAAAAAATTTATAACTGTGTAATTTTTACTGCACTTATACTTGTTTTTTACTTGTAAAAAAACCCAGATTCTCATTGTAAAAACAAAACAAAAACATTCACTCAAAACAAAAAGCAATTAGTAATGGTTTATTTCAGTTTTCAGGAAAATGGGGAGGTGTAGGGAGGGAGTTTTGTTTTTACCTTGGTGTTAGGCATTCATTGTGCTGTGGGTGTTAGCAACATTGGGTGTAAATTAAAAAATAAAATAGAGAAGCTGCTGGTAAAGGCGGACTCAAATGATTCATGCAAAACTTTCACATGTGTCTTGTCTCTAGATAGCATTTTCTCAGAATCAGTGCAGCTCAAATAATGACTGTTCTTTGAGACAGACTCAACTCTGTTTATAAAGGAATAAAAACAGAGAAGTGATGATATAGCCTGGTAGGATGGGTTGCTTTTCAAACATATCTTATCTTGTAGAAATAATCTGCTGGAGATAGTTTTACAGGTGTATAGCACTGTGCTCCCACCTTGCCTGGGTGTGAGGAGACAGCTGCAGGGTTAGTGTTTATTTAAGCTGTCACCATTTGACCAAAGATTGGGGCAGAATTCTTGGACTTTCTCCCCAAGATGTAGACTTGTATATTTTCTTTGTGAAGCATTTGAATTCATAAAATAGTATATGTCTTTAATTAGGTGGGATCTACTTCAGCCAATGTGGGAGCTGTTGACCTTTAGACTTTCAACTTTCAAATCTTAA